TTTACAGTGGCAAGTCTTACTGCCTCCCCAGACACCAAGTGCCCAGTTCTCCTAGAGATGAGCATGTTACCACTTTCTCAAGGTTCTTCCTTTTAAAAAGTATGTAGGACAAAGTTCAATAGACTTCTGTGAACCTGGGTGAAGACCTGGTTGACCAGCAGTGTGGCAAGACCTGGGGACTCTTGGGCCCAGAGTCAGTGACATAGCCACAGAGGAATAGAGTGGAGAGTGAAGCATCCAGCTGATAAGAAGAGAGGGCATATGCATAAGAACACCCACACTTGCAAATAATACCCACTTATCCTGGCTTCAATGACTGGATGATCAGAGTTCAATCAGAAGTAAAAAAAGAGGAAAAAAAAAAAAAGTATTCTCATACAATTTGATGAACTTGACCTACACCTATGGAAGCAGTAGCTCAAAAGAGGGAACAAATCCTTACAGCAAGAATCATTCCCATCCCCTCCACACAGAGTAGACAGAGATGGGCAACTTGGACATTGGCTACCCAAAATGGGGGGCGGAGGGCTACAAAGGCAAGAAGTGACTGGCTTATAAGCTTTCAAGAGGGAACCTAGATCCAGAGGGCCTGGAGGAAGGTAGAATCTCCAGTGAGTAGTATTCAATCTGTCTAGGCGGGGCTGATGCAATGAAATGCATCAGTCTCTTGTGATACAATAGTGAATAATTGTTATCAGGACTGATTGTGAGGGTTGGAAATGTAAAGGTAGATGTTTTATAGCAAGAAGAGGAGTGATTAACTTTTCAGTCTAGGAGTGGAGGTCCCTAGGACCATCAAGGGAGAAGAGTGGAGAGTGGGATCCTACCCAGAGAAGCAGTGATGCCTGAGATGGAGGCAGAGATGATGATGTGGAGCGATGGAGCAGCTGGAGACTTTAGATCCAGAGAGGGAGACTGACTGTGTGCTGAAGACCTGGGAGGTACGGGGGAAGGATTGCAGAGTCTACCCTTTCGTTGGTTGATGATGCATGGAGGGGATTGTAACCATGGCAATGAGATGATATACGATAGAATGAATGTAAAATTAATGTTCTACCATGTAAACTACCACATAATTCACAATAAAACATTTAAGAAGTAAAAAAAAAGTATGTAGGAGAACAAATGCTATGGTGAATTGGGTGGAAGTGCAGTAAGGAGCTCTGTCAGCAACAACATAGACTACAGGACCAAGCAGGCTCAGGGAATGGTGCCAGACTCTGAACCACATATAAAAGAATATTCAGAAGATTGGAAGGCTTACAGCTAGAGGAATTTGTAGCAGAAGTAAGAAATCCATTGCTTTCTAACTCAAGATGGTCAGCTGCTCCCTGAGTCACCATCTTGGGTGAGACCAAGCAGGGAAAGGATCAGAGCAGCCATGGATGCCTGAAGAACCGCAGAGATAAAGATGTGGACATTCTTTTTTGTGTGTGTTTCTTCACTGGTCTCTCGCTATCTGTACAACTCCATTCTGGTGACTAGAAGGGGGTGCCTGAGTGAGTGAACACCCCACCCTCACCCCCAGAGGGTTCTACTACGCATGTGCACAGATCTCCTTGCAATTTAAAGTGATAGTTTCCACTTTGAACCAAACAGCCACAGCTGGTCCTGAACTGTTTATAACTAGAAAAAAGGCCTGAACGGGGATTGTGGAGTGGGACAGGCAGACTAAAAAGGAAACAGGCAGAAAATTAAATCCTGAGTTACATCACAATGATCAACAGTGACATCTTGAAATTTCTCAGGAAGAAGAGTGAAAAGAGAAGCCCATTTCCTAATCACATCTACCTGGAGGCAATCAGAAAGCATAAAAAAATACCAAAATGCACACCCATCTAAGTATTAAGGCCACAGATAACTCTTGAATATGCCCAAAAAACAGAAGCAGATGACCATATCAGCACCTGTCCAAAAATGAGATAAAGTGACTGAGGCAAATGAGCTGAAAGTAGATCTACACTCCATATTGGAAGATGGGCAGGCTTTGGATTGATGTACGTGGCAGCACCTCCCTGAGTTAAGTCAACAGAAAGAAGAAATGTTAACAAAACAAAACTATATGAACAAACTGAGAGACTCTGGGAGGGCAGTCTATGACCAAAACAAGTACAATGCAAAAGAAGGTGAACACATAGGAACAGAGATCCAGACAATGAGAAGGTCAGGTAGATTACAGGATAAAATAGACTGCACTAAATGGACAGAGAATTCAATGGACCATAAGGCAACCTCAAAGAAAATTTACACTTCACAGCATACCAAGAGAATGAGAATCCAAGAAGAATATGAAAACATTAAAACTATAAGGAAACGCACAAGAAAGAGCACACAAATCATGAATTCAACAGAGAAAGACAAACAGAACAAAGAAGCAGCAACACCACAAAAAAACGAGTATAATGACAACAAATAATCAATACCTATCGATAATTACACGGAACGTAAATGGATTGAATGCACCTGTTAAGAGATGGAGGGAGGCAGAATGGATAAGAAAACAAGATCCTTCAATATGCTGTCTGCAAGAGACGCATTTCACACACAGAGACAGAAACAGATTAAAAGTGAAAGGATGGGAAAAATATACCAAGCTAACTGCAATAAAAAGCGAACAGGAGTGGCAGTGCTAATCTCGGATAAAATAAACTTTAAGGCAAAAGCCAGCATAATAGATAAAGATGGACATTATCTCATGATTAAAGGGACAATTGAACAAAATGAAATAACCATATTAAATATCTATGCTCACAATGAAAGAGTGCCAAAATATATAAAACAAACTCTAATAGATTTGAAGAAAGAAATAGATGAATCCACAATAATAGTGGATGACTTTAATACACCACTTTCAAAAATGGATAGAACAACCAGAAAGAAACTGGACAAAGACACAGAAGGACTAAACAACACAATCAACCAACTGGACTTTATAGATGTATACAGAGCATTCAACCCAACAACTACACAATACACATTCTTTTCAAGTGCACATGGAACATTCTCCAGAATAGAGCAGAAACAAAGGACCCCAGGACCATCAAGGGAAAAGAGCACAAGCAGAATGCGGGACCTTATCCAGAGAAGCAGCAATGCCAGAGATGGAGGCAGAGATGTGGGTATGCAAAGGGGGAGCGGCTGAGGACTCTAGATTCATGGGAAGTGAGGGACTAAGAGCTGGTGGCCAGGAGGCAGACTTGTAGAATGTGCCCTTTGGAGATGTAAATTGTTATATACGCCTGAGTGGTTTTTTGTTTGTTTGTTTGTTTGTTTAAAGCTAAAATGAATAGAGAGAAATACTGTTAACTGATGGTACATGGAGGGGCTTATAATCATTGTAATGAAACAAGGTGTATGATTTGTTGAATGTAAAACTGATGATCTGCCCTGTAAACTTTCACTCAATCCAGAATTAAAACCATATATATATAAAAGTATGTAAATGTTGTTTTTGTCGTTTTGCCAAGAAGGAGCACTGTAAAGGAATAAGGAATAAAAGAAAGTGGGTCTACTTTTCAGTTTCCCAGGATGTAGCTATCAAGATTCTGACAGATGGTCAGCCATACAAGATCAAACAGGCAGCATCTGCCCAGGGATAAAGCTCAGAAGGTGGGAAGGAATAGGAAAGAGGGATGAGGAAGTGGGCAATGTGTTGCTACATTATGGGGATTGCAGTCAATGTCAAAAATCAAAATGGGTATTAACTGTTTAACGGAAAGTCAATTTACTCTGTAAACTGTCACCCAAATCACACACACAAAAGGAGTTTGACAGAGGGATTACAGAGAGCAAATGGAACCACAGATAGGGTGCAGGCCTCCTGAGCTCTCCTTTCTTCCAATTCTTCTTCTATTTCCCTTACACATCCCCAAGCCTGACCCCTGTGGTGTCCAGGGATACCTCCTCAATTAGTTTCCTCTGCCCCAATAAGACCACACCTCTTCCTTTCCCCAGCTGCCAGTCAGAATCCCAGAGAGCAGAGCGCCAGTGTCCCTGCGTGGCCACAGGGCTGAGGAGTGAAGACCTGAGCTCCCTTTTCCTGTCTTCTCAGGTATGATGCAGGACTCCTCTCCAGGGTTTTCTGGGTTCTCACCAGTAGGCACACAAGAGGGCGCCCCAGCTCTGGGTTAGGTTCAGAATGCTAAGTACCCAAAAACCTTCAAGTCAATTGCAACGCATAGGTCACTTGGACATAGTTGTGCTTACTTACTTGGCTTACTTACTGTGTCCCTGTCAGGGATTGTATATTTGAAAAAAAGCTTTGATTCTGTAGGAAGATGCTGTGGGGTTAAGATCAAGACAGACGCCAGTCATACCTAGAAGCAGAATCTTTTGATGTGGTGAAAAACATGTGAACTTGTTCACTACAGATTACTAAGTAAGCACAAGTAAGACTATTCATCTTGCTTAGTGGGGAATCTGACACTGCCTACAGAACACAGCAGAACTGCCCCATAGGGTTTCCAAGGCTGTAAAGTTTCATGGAAGCTGACTGCCACATCTTTCTCCCAGGGTAGGTTTAAACTACCAACCTTTCGGTCTGTTGTCAAGGGCTTAACCACTGAGTCACTAGGACTCTTAGGGTGCTTAAGTGTTTACCCGGATCCACACTGACATAAATGCTTCCTCCTCACTGAGAGACTGTAAAGGAGACCTGGTGGCGCAGGTTAAGTGCTCAGCCAAAAGGTTCGAGTACACCAGCTGTTCTGTGGGAGAAAAAGGTCTGTTTCCCTAAAAAGGATTATATCTTTGGAAACTCTATGGAGCAGTTCTACTCTGTTCTAGAGGGTCACTATGAGTCCCAAGCAACTGGACAACAGTGAGTTTGATTTTTGAGTGACTATGACTCCAGCCCAGGTCAAGAGGAAGCTTCCAAGTCATAACATCCGGTTTCCAGGTCCTAGGTAGATCCCAAAAACATACTGCAAGCCTCAAAATCAAATTCCTGTCTACTGGGATGGAACTTGGACTCTGAGCTCTTATCACTTGTTCTACTGAAGCCTCTGGAAGAGGCCCCTCCTCCCGGGAGTGGCAGCAAGTGTCAGTTGGTGGAGTACACTTCTGCTGATGGGAAGCCCCACCTCATTGACCTGGGCACAGGAATCGGGACCTTCTTAAACAATCACACTGAGTTCCAGTGCTACTATGAAATGAAGGAAAAGGATGTGCTTAAATCTGGGGTCAATAGCAGAAAGTATGTCTGGCTTCATAAGGCCTTGGACACTTCTGAAGTAGACAGAAAAGAAGATGAGGAGGAAGAAGAAGAGGAGGTATCCGACAGCTAGAAAACTAAGAAATGACTCAAACTATTGAGACCATTTCCTTCTTGGAAGACTTTGGGATTAAGAGTGCCTTGGTTCTCTCTGTAACGCCTCTTATTGCCTTAAATCTTTCTTCTGTTGCTGATCAGCTTATGTTCCAATTTAAGAAAACTAATTTATATTTGATTGAACTTTTTCTGTGGCACATCAGCCATGTCCATGCCTGTGGTCATTTTCTTCAGAACATTCTCACCATTTACAACGCATCATGTTAGGTTGTTTTAGTACAAGTGTTAATGACTTTAGTTGGTGCTTTTTAAACTGCTGCCTAGGAAACTGTAAGCCCTTGGTTAAAGGAGGAATTGTGGCTTGTTCCTCTTTGTACAGTTACTTTATTTATATAGTTGGTAGGTCTTGTGGACCAGGTTTTGTTTTTGTTTTGGGGAGCAAAGCCTTGAAGCTTTGGTTACCACCTAAACAGCCTCCAGTATATACCGAAGCTTTGGCCTGGTTGAGTTCTTAAGTCATAGAAGTTGATTTTGCACTTTGTTGGGGGAGAGGGGGCTGGGAGCATCTACCACATGACCTCATTACAGACTGTTTAACTTTCTGGGGCTGACGGAAGCATGTGACTGGACAGGACGATCATAACTACGGCCAGAAGATGCTGATTACATGTCGCGGTAGGCTGGAATGCGTCATGGACTTGTTTTCTATGTGAGGATTCCAGATTTCTCTATGGACATACAATGTACATAACTATTGTGACCATCTTATTCTTCACCTTTGTATTCTTATTCACATGTTCATCTTTTTTCTGTTTTGAGAAGTACAAGTGTCCACTCCTGCGGCAAGGCCCTTGTTCAATCATAACAGCATGTCCAAAAGAGCTTATGTATTTTACATGTTTCATCTTTGGAAAAATGTTCAGAGAGATTGTATTTACCTTCCCAAGACTGGAAAGCAGAGGAAATGCCCAGTTTCCTAATTTTCTACCAGAGGAATATGTGTAAGTAGAAAAATATTGTCTACTTACATAGCTATTCTGTGTGTGTGTATGTGTGTGTATGTGTATGTAAACATTTGTGAAAAAGAGCTGCATACTGATTTTCCTATGAGAATATTTTGTGATGTAAATGTAATACTACATTATAGGCAAAGGTCTCCCTGCATTTGAAGAGTAGGTTTTCATTTATATGTATTTTTTTGGGGGGAAATAATAAAATTTGTAAATGTAAAAAAAAAAAAAAAAAAGAGCATATAGTTCAGGAGGTATTGTTGAAACCATCCTTGGAAACAAAAATCTACACAGTGCATTAGAAAGTGATAAAAGATAATGGTGGTGGTGGTGGTTGTGTGCCACCAAGTCAGTTTTGACTCATAGTGAGGTTATAAATCTTTGCTGTTGTTAAAGCAACCCTATACAGAATTTCCGAGGAGCAGCTGGTGAGTTTGAACTGTCGACTTTTTGGTTCACAGTCCAGTGCTGATCCTACAGAACTTTACGGGAGCAGAAAGCTTCATCTTTCTCTGTCAGAGCGGCTTGTAGATTCAAACTGCTAACCTTTTGGTTAGCAGCCCAGCTCATAATCCATTATGCTATCAGGTCTCCTTGATAAGAGATATAGAGGGGAAAAGCAAATACCAAGTAATTAAGGCTAATATAGAAAATTTATAGAATAGAAAATTTCAAAGGGCAGCTTGGGAAGACAAAGTATTATAATGAAATGTGCAAAGACCTAGTGTCAGAAAATCAAAAGGGAAAAACATGCTCAGTATTTCTCAAGATGAAAGAACTAAAGAAAAAAAAAACCAAGCCTCGATTTGCAATATTGAAGGATTCCATGGGCAAAATATTGAATGACATAGGAAACATCCCAAGAATATGGAAGGAATACACTTTCATTTCAGCAGGTAGTACATGATCAAGAACAAATGGTATTGAAGAAGTTCAAGCTGCCCTAAAGGCAAAAAAACCCAAAAAACAAAACCCAAGTTTCCAGGAATCGACAGAATACAAACTGAAATGTTTCAACAAACTGATGCAGCACTGGAGACACTCACTTCCAATAAATTTGGATGACAATTATCTGGCCAACTGACTGTAAGAGATCTATATTTGCACCCATTCCAAAGAAAGATGATCCAATGGAATGTGGAAATCATCAAATAATATCATTAATATTGCATGCAAGTAAAATTTTGCTGCAGATAATTTTAAAATGGTTGCAGCAGTACATCAACAGAGAGCTGCCAGAAATTGCAGCCAGATCGGAAGAGGATGCAGAAAAACAGCTATCATTGCTGACATCATCAGATAGATCTTGGCTGAAAGCAAAGAATACCAGAAAAATGTTTACTTGTGCTTTATTGACGATGGAAAGCCATTGAATTGTGTGGATCAAAACAAACTATGGACAATGTTGGGAAGAATGGGAATTCCAAATGTAAGGACACAAACTGAATGCTACAAAATGGCCATGCTTTTTGGAGTTCAAACCATATTTCCCTGCTCCTGCTATCTAGGAAGCAGCAGACAGTCCCCACCCCCACCCCCACCCCGCCGCCTCCTTCCACTAGGCATACCAGAAACTTCTTGTTCTCATGCTTCAGTTATGCATATACTAGGAAGGATCCAACAGCCCCCTCCTCCCACTATGAAGACTAAAATTCTTTGCTTTCTAGGAAGGGGCAAAGCAGCCCTGCACCTTTTGTCCTACCTCTTCCTTATTCTGCATACTACCCTTAATTGCCCTGCAAAAGACCTTAGCCCAAGACCATGCAGACCCGGTCAGGAGGTCAAGCCCCTGTGGGCCCAAGCGTTGTTGACCGTCCAAACCATAGGCTCTGAGGATCAGACTTTAGCCACCTAGTAGACATAGCAAACTGTCCCTCATCTGATTATTCAGTAATGCTTGTTAGTAATCTCATACATGAGCCCTGGATATCCACAGACAAATGTAAAAACCTTCCCTAAAAGCCGAGACTGTAAATTCCAAAAAGGCAAGTTCCTCCCGGCACCCCCGCCCCCCCCAAAAAAAAGCTAAAGAGGATAGAGAGAAACACTGTAAACTGATGATATATGGAGGGGATAATAATCAATGTAATGAAACAAGCTATATGAATGGTTGAATGTGAAGCGGATGATGTGCCCTGTAAACTTTCACTCAATCCAAAATAAAAACATTTAATAAAAAAAAAAGACAAAGACCTTAGCCCACACCCCTCATGAGGAAAAACTTCACTGTCCAATTGGCTGCCACTAGAAACAGCTATTTTCATCCCTTGTAAGTAACTTCTCTGCTTGGAAAACCATTTCTTTTCTTTTCTTTTCTGCAATAAGTTAACGTCTCTTGGACTGGGTCCTGGTCATTTTTTGATCTCTTGGCAACTACATATGCAGAAGGCTTTTCCCTTTGGGGCCTGAATCCCAGTACCGGAACACTTAATTGTGCTTAAGATGAGCCTGCATATAAACCAAAAGGCAGTCTTTATAACGGAACAAAGGAATGGCTTAAAATCAGGAAAAAAGTGTGTGTTAGGGTTGTTATCTTATCACCATACTTATTCAATCTGTATGCTGGGCAAATAATCTGAGAAACTGTATTATGTGAAGAAGAATGTAGCATCAGGATTGGAGGCACACTCATTAACAACCTGTGATATGCAGATGACACAACCTTGCTTACTTGAAGTACTTAACAATGAAGATCAAAGACTTCAGTATGGATTGCATCGCAACCAGATCAATAAATACATGATAAATGTAGAAAAGATTGAAGTTGTCAAAATTTCATTTTACTTCGATCCATAATCAATGCTCTTCTTTGGTCTTCCTTATTCATTGTTCAGCTTTCACACCCTTAAGAGGAGATTGCCAATACCATGGTTTGGATCAGGCAAACCTTAGTCTACAAAGTGACATCTTTTCTCTTTAACACTTTAAAAAGGTCTTTTGCAACAGATTTGCCCACTGCAATAAGTTGTTCAATTTCTTGACTGTAACTTCTATGAGCATTGATTATGGATCTAAGTAAAATGAAATCGTTGACAACTTTAACCTTTCCCCCATTTATCATGATTTTGTTTGTTGCTCTGGTTGTGAGGACTCTTGTTTTCTACATTGAGTTGTAACCCACACTGCACGCTGTATCCTTTGATTTTCATGATCAAGTGCCTCAAGTCCTCTTCGCTTTCAGAAGAAAAAATTGTATCATTGGCATATTGCAGATTGCTAGAGCCTTCCTCAAACTGTGATGCCACATTCTTCTTCATATAGTCCACCTTTTCAGATTATTTCCCTAGCATACAGACCTGATAGGCATGGTGAGAGGATACACCCTGACATCCTCTCACCATGCTTTCTGACACTCCGTTGGCTCTTGGTCTTGTTTTGGATGATACTGAGCTAATCCACAGATGTAGTCAATTTGATTCCTGTGTATTCCAGCTGTATAGTCACTATTTTTGCTGTTAAGAAAAGGCATTTGCAATGAGTAAGTCCGTTGGTCTTGCAAAATTTTACCATGCAACTTCCAGCATCATATATTCCAACTACAGATCCTTCCTTTTGGTTTCCAACCTTCGCATTCCAATCACCAGTAATTATCAATACACCTTGATTGAATGTTTAATCAATTTCAGACTGAAGAAGTTGGTTGTTGTTGTGAAGTGCTGAATTGGTTTTGACCCATAGCGACCCTGTATAGGTTTTCTGAGGAGCAGCTGGTGAGCTTGAACTGATGACCTTGCAGTTCAAATGGCTTTGCAGTCTGGCGCATTAACCCACAGCGCCACACCAGGACTCCGAAGAAGTTGGTAGAATTCTTCAATTTCTTCATCATTGGCTTTGGGGGTTGTTGCGTAAATTTGACTAACAGTTGTATTTACTGGTCTTCCGTGTAGGTGTATATTCTATCACAGACAGGGACTGGTGTGGTGCTGTAGTGTCAGCATTGGACTGTGAACCACAAGGTTGGCAGTTCAAATCCACTAGCTGCTCTTCAGAAACCCTATACAGGGTC